AGCACAGAAGACCAGGGCCATTTAGTATATGGATATGCTACTCCCTGAGTAAAACTCAGAAATATCCTTATAGTATGGTTGTAATTCACTAGTATAATAAATGGCTTTCATAATGACCCTGAGTCATTACAATAAGATTAAATTATGTTCACTATATATTCTCTTTAAGAATGCATGAAATTGTATAGCTATTCCTGCACAAAATGATTACGTGTGTGTGTGTGTGAGAGAGAGAGAGAGAGAGAGAGAGAGAGAAAGAGAAAGAGAGAGAGCTAACTTCAGGAAAACTCCCAGTAAGAGAGAGATGATGTTCTTTTATTCTCTCTGTCTCTCTGTCCCTCTCTCCCTCTCTCCCATCTTTCTCTCTTGTTATAAAAAAAGGTTAAAAAAAAATGGTCAAACCACGGAAGTACTTTGAGGTATATAAATTGATCCATTGGTGAAATTTCAGTGAACTTATTCTGCATGTGACTTCTCCATAAAAATAAAGTGGTCTCCTAATGAAGGTGATTGCCTTTTTATTATCTATTCTAGAGCATTTAAAACTAGGTTGAACTAAGCACTAGAGAAATTATTGCAGTGAGCCATTTCCTGATCAAGAAAAGCACTAGGTGAGCTACTAAGGCTTTTTTGGTTTCAATTCTCAAGATTCGACTTTTCTATAACAGAGAGTTCTGTCTTTCATTAGATGGCTGTCTACTGACCCTGTCTTTATGTCATTTTTCCCCTTTCTCTTCATCAGCAGAGACAATTTTTATTTTCTTAAAGATTTCTATTCTTCAGAAGTTTTCCCCCCAAATTTGATCTTTAATTCTGAGTGATTTGTATTTGTAAACACTTTTTCTTTTCTCTCTTGAAGGAGATTGGTTTATTCTCAGCCCTTCTTTTATTTCTCTTAAGATTGGGTTTTGCTACCTATTTACAAAGAAATGCCCAGTCACCATAGAGTTGAGTGAATTTCAAGAAGGAATTGCCTAAGAAAATATAGTGGGAGCCAAGGGGTCATGAGTATTAGACTGGGGATTAATAAGGGACTCGAATAATAAGTTCCCCGAAACCTTTGCGTGAAGATGACTGTAGGTGTTCAATGTCTTGGATTCAACACAGCTTTTGGAACCCATTTAACTGAAGTCTTTTCAGATTCTTCTAAATTTCCTTTTGATTTCTGTGTTCTTTAGTGGGAGAAATGTCCCACCCAATAGAATAACTTACCAACAAAGAATGATAAATATTCCTTTACCCACTCTCACAGAAACATGTCAAGACACTACCTCTTGTGGAAATGATACAGCAGTGTGCTGTTATCAACTATTTTTAAAGTGTTGTTAAAACTATTAAAATGATGAATATAGTGAGGTAATTTTTAAAAATGTTCTTTGTATTAAAATTTTAAGCCACTCATCATCCTCTCTCATTTGATTTTTGGGCACAGGTGAGCTAATTACAATGACAAAACTTTTTTTTTCTTCATAAGAACACATGCATAACTGTAGGGTGAGAGTTGAACATTTTCAACTATGGCTAGAAAGATCAAGTGATACTCCAATATTCTTCAAAGATCAGATTGTTCTCACAGTTAGAATCAGGCCCCTTTTCCTATAAGCTCATGGAAGCAAGTAGTCAGTCCTCAAAGATGTTTATAAATTGATTATTTTTAATTTTAGCAAGCACCCTAAAAAAACCTGGTGTTTCTGCAGCACTTTTTAATTTTCTCAAACACTCATCAATGTCTTCCTTCATGAAAACAACACCTAGAAGATGTGTAGGACTGGCAGTTATCATCAGCATTTTACAGATGAAGAAACTGAGGCTTAGAAATTAAGGACAGAAGTTAGTGACAGAATTGGGACCGACCTGAGCCTCTTTCTTCCTAATGTATAAATTTTTCTACCAAATCACATGACCTCCTAACCAGTATTTAACTCCGCGCCATTGACAGTACCCATCTTCCAGCTTTCATCACCTTCAGCGATTCTTGTATCAGACACCAGAAGTTACTTTTATGATATAGATGACATGAATTTCATATTGATATGTTTCAAATACTTGTTAACCATCTGAAATTAGGGGAAGCCACCCTAAAATAATCAATTGATAGATGTCACACCTATTGGTGTGTCTCAACATAATCCTCATGATAAGAGTACTTTCCTCTCTAGAGCCAAAGGAAAGAAGTATATACCAAGGAAGGAAAACCTAAAAGAGGCACTCATGCTGCCCTGCTCCCTTGATATGTGCCATCCTCTCCTTGAGAGTAGATCCCAAAAGCCACGATCATCTGAATATCCAAATTATTCTTTTCTAGAAAAAACAAAGCAATGACATAGCAGGTGTTCTTCATACAGTAGTACAATACAGGTACAAATGTGGGCGGTAGAACAAGAAAATTCTATCGATCTCCCCGCGAAGGCACTTCAAAGTAGATCCTGGATGCATCCATGAGTCTGCCTTCTTGGAATGCTGGATTTAGAATCAAAGGACTTGGGTTTGAATCTTGCTATCTGTGTAGCCTCAGGCAAATTGTACAACTCTCAGTCCTTAGCTTCCTCATCTATAAAAGTAAGAGTGTTGGACTACGTGACCTTTAAAGTCTTTTACAGAAGTCTATGAGTCTGTGGGCCTTGTCGTTATGACTTACAATCACTTCATAGTCTTTTTGGAGATGTCATTGAGGCTGCTTCAGAGGGAGGGCAGCCTCCTTCATGATTCTACTCTCTGGTCTCTAAATTCATACCAACCCACTGGTGGAGGTAACTGCCCTCCCTTTCTCCACACACTCCAAAATTTGTACTTCTGTCTGGAGCAGCACAAACATTCATGTCTCTTGCAGTTGAGCTCTTTTGGATGGAATATCCAGAGGCAGAGCAGGAAACTGAGTACATACACAGTCCAGTTGCTTTGCCTAATAATTTAATCATCCTCAATATTTCTTTTCTTTTTTTTTTTTAAATATTTTTTAGGCAATTGGGGTTAAGTGATTTGCTCAGGGTCACACAGCTAGTAAGTGTCAAGTGTTTGGTCTGAGGCCACATTTGAACGCAGGTCCTCCTGATTTCAGGGCCAGTGCTCCATGCACTGCACCACCTAGCTGCCCCCATCCTCCTTATTTCTTGAAAGTACCTTTAAACCATTCTTTCACTTAATCCCCACTGCTATACTGTGGGGTAGGCCAGGCAGAAATAGGGAAAATGTAGTATTCTAGTATTAGAGGTGAGACTGTGGAGATGACTGCAGAAGTCATGTAGTCAGTCCATCCCCCACATTTTACAAATGAGGAAACTGAACTTCAGAGAAGGTGAAGTAATTTTGCCCACAGTCACGAGCTACTTAGTGTTGGATGTCGGATGAGAAGCCGGTCTCCCAAGTGGTAGTCTGTTTCTCCTCCTCCATTGCTCCACAATGTCACCCTACTGAAAGCAGGGCAAGTTTACTTCATGGAAGAGCCACCATCACTGCAAAGATCCCCAGGGTAACAAACCTGAAGTAGACAACCAGAAGTGAATCTCTTTTCTCAGGTAAGAGAGAGGACAGGATTATTTCAATCTTGGAGAATCACTTTTTAAGTCTGTGTGTGTGTGTGTGTGTGTGTGTGTGTGTGTGTGTCTGTGTGTCTGTGTGTCTGTGTGTCTGTGTGTCTGTGTCTGTGTCTGTGTCTGTCTGTCTGTTTCTCACTGTCTCTGTCTTTTTGTCTGTCTCAATCTGTCTCTCTTTCTCCCTCCTCTTCCCCCACCCATTCATCTCTCTCCTTCTGCCCTCCTTTCCTTTCTGTTTCTCTCCAATTTCCTCCCCCCCTTCTTCCCCCCCCTTTAACTCTCTCCCCTTCCCCTCTTTCTCTTTTACCCTCTCCCTCCCACCCTCCCTCCTGAATAGGATTCCCTGGAAGGAAGTTTGCACACGTAACAGGAACTGGGCAGTCACTGAACTCTTGCTTAATAACAGATTTCAATAGATTCAGCAGTACCATGTGTGCCTTTTTTTTTTTTTTAAAAGGATTGTGAAACCTCAGAATTTAACCTAGCCATTGTTTAAGCAAGCCTGATCTCCATGTCAGTCACAAATGCAACCTTTGGCTCCATTTTAAAATATGAAACAAAGACTTTTGTTCTCCCAGGCTGATGGAAGTTTCTTAACTGAAGTACAGCTCTCATTAGGACCCGTTTTTCCCTCTTGAATCACAATCATGCGGTATTTTCGACCATCCCTACTGAAGTTTGTCTGTAGTTAATATCAGAGAACAAATTAAAGGAGGAAATAAAACTTTGAACATTCCTATTAAACATTTTGTTGAATTGAATGTTTTTGCTATGCCATGCTTGAGGACTTGAAGACCATTTACAACATAATAGTAAAATTAAATAAAATGAAGCCCTGTCCTGTTTGGAAAAATCTTCATTTGTAAAACCTGAATTTGTATGGGAAATGGACAAATTAAGATTGTACAAATTGTGCAGGGTGTGATATCTATGAAAGACACATGGAAAGACATGGACAAGAATCACACAGGAAAAGAAAGCACTTGGAGAGATTTTGAACCGTATCGGTTTAGGGAATAACCAATTTCTTCATCTACATTACATGGTTGTTATGTGGGTCAAACGAGATAACATATAAAGTGTTTTGCAAACCTTAAAGTGTTATATGAATGCTAGATCTTGTTATTATTGTTATCATGAATCCACTGTATTATTTTATGTACATTACAGTTTTCAAAATGATTAAATTGTTCTTGTGTACTGGGGTTCAAATAAGTATGAAGGAGTGTAGTGTGGTGGAAAGAACGCTGAGCTGGGAGACCAGAGACTTGTTCAGATCCCAGCTCTACCACTAATTTAGCTGCATGAGCTCAGCAAGTTGATTAACCATTAAGTGCCTTTCTTATTTGTGATACGTGTAGCATCTGGCCTCTGATTCCTAAGGAAATGTTGTGAAAACAAGGTGGGAGAAAAGGTTTTGAAAAGTAAAAGTTAAATTTTTTTTTTTTAAAAATACATCAATATTCTGTGCTTGCTTTGGCAGCACAGGTGCGGTAATTGGACTGGTACAGAGAATATTGCTTAGCATGCCCCTACACAAGAATGACATGCAAATTCACTAAGCATTTCCTTTCTTTGTATTGTCTGGTATATATTCTCATATGTTTATTTTCTGTGGTTTCTGTTGCTATTGACTTGGATAAATGAGTTTCTTTGCTAAGATTTAGGTGTAGATATCCTATAGGATTACCTAGCAGAGCTCATAATATGCTATTATACAGCTAGGTGATGCTATGGAGAGACCCCTGGACCTAGAATTAGGGGAGACCTGAGCTCATTTCAAATCCAGCCTCAGACACTCATTAGCTGTGTGACCATAGACAAGTCATTTAACCTCTTTCTGACTTAATTTTCTCATCCGTAAAATGAAGAGCATCTAACTTCATAGAGTTGTTGTGAGGAGAAATAAGGTATTTGTAAAGCCTTTGGTCATCCTTAAAGTCTTACATAAATTCTAATAAAATAGTATTATTGCTGTTAGATATTTTTTACAAATGCTTTCTTTCTGAGCTAAAGGTCAGACAGTATTAAAGACTGAAGTTATGTGGGACATTGACAAATTAAGCTCATACAAAATGTGCAGGATATGATCTCTCTCTCCCCCTACCCCAGTACAATTTTAAAATGGGGGAGAAAGTAACCGTATTGAATAAATAAAAATCTAAAACTTGAATAGACTGACCCTGAGGTGTAGAGCAAAAATATTAGAAGTAAAGATCAGAAAATTTAAACTTTTCCTAGTATGCAAAGGCAGAGTTTATGGCTTCAAGTCTCATTATATGTATCTTGCCATCTCATCTTTCACCATAAAAATCACTTTATTAATTTAAACTGTTGATATAACTTAAATTCTTTTACAGAAATGAGGTTTGCAGCTGCCTTCAATCACCCTAGCAATGAAAAGAAGATATAGGCGTCCATTGTAAGGGACAGTATAGATATATGAGCGACAATAGGGAAGTACACAATCTCTCAAATCTTTCTTGTCAAACTGCTTCAAGTTGTTGATCTCCTAAGCATCTGCAGAATTCCCAAGGTTCTTCATGGCCTGCATTACTCAAACCCGGAAAGAAACTCACTCTTCTGGCTTTCTCTCAATATCAAACAGCCCTTATTCTGGAGTCGAAAGAAGTTAATTCCTATCTCCTCCCTTTAGCTAACTGTAATTCATTTTTATATAGCACATTAAGGTTTATTCATTACTTTCCTCACACCAAGCCTGTGAGGTAGGAAATGCAAGTATTATTGTCCTCATTTTATAGATTAGGAAACTGAATCCCAAAAGGGTGACATAAAAGCCTGTCAGTCTCAGAGCCAGCTTCAGATGAAGGTCTTTTTGACTCCTAATGCCTGTACTCTGACACTGTTCCATGCTACCCTTCTCCATAGGCAGCCTGCAATGAGCTACAGGCACCAACTAGAATTTGTGCAGACCCTGAAGCATTCCTTGAGCTTTCTGGCTGGGTTCTCACAATTTAAGTGATTGCGCCATTTAGTCCCAGGATCTCTTGATTACCTCTATTCTGTGATTTTGGGTTATCAGCTTGGATTCAGCTCTTGCTTCTTAAGTGATAAGCCAAGAAAGAGGGGAGTATACACCTTAAGCATTAGTCATCTGTTTTTTTGAGTCTGCAGCCAAACACTCCCTTAAGTCTCTTCAGGCTTAACAAATTAAACCTCATTTTCTGATTCTGTGTGGTTGAACATTGATTTACACATCGCCTATAACCACTTCCCACCTAGGACAGATGTGAGTGGTACATTTTAGCTAGAGAAAGTATTTCTTGGCAGAGTTCAAGGAACTGCTCAAAGTCCACTTCAGCCTTCCTGCTTGTCTTCTCTTGTATTCAATGTGGGCTCAATCCCTAGACTAAGGTTCTACCCCATCTTTCCAGAGATTAATGGGGATATTTCAAGACAATGTGTCAGTGAATGTATTTGACCACATGATAGGATCATAAATAAATTAAATAAGGTAGCACAAAGTGGGACAAACCTGTTTTGAGCTGGTATTAGGGTAATTTTTAAATGACCATATTTTATCCTCTGAGTTAAGTGTAACAAGTACACACACACACATACACACACGGTTGATATTTAATTTTTCTTGGAGAGCAAATCAATCAGAGATAGCATTTTCTCTATAAGTGATTGTTCTTCTTTTTTTTTTTTTTGGTTGGGCAACGGGGATTAAGTGACTTGCCCAGGGTCACACAGCTAGTAAGTGTTATGTGTTTGAGCTGGATTTGAACTCAGGTCCTCCTGACTCCAGGGCTGGTGCTCTATCCACTGCGCCTCTTAGCTGCCCCATTTTTTGTTGTCGTCTGTGTCTGTAAGTGATTCTTCAGTGCTATGACCAAATCATTCATCAATGCATTGAAAATACCACCACATCAGACTCACTGCTTGGTCATACTGACTAACTACCTTCCTTTTGATTCTTTTTTCTATATAGAAGTTTAAGGGAGCAACAGTGGGTGAGAAGGGTTACGTGGAAATTATTTACATCTAGTAAACTGTGTTCCTCATATTTACACCTGTGAATATCTCCACTTGTCATGCCGGGAGACCAGGGTTCAATTCCCCAGTGGAGAGCCATGCCGAGAAAACTCCATATGGGCTCTCAGAGTCAGACATGACTGAACAACACAGTAAACTGAAAATTCATCAGCATAAAAAGGTCAAATGAGATTAAGTAGTTCTTCCAATATTAGGAGTGTTTCCTTATAGAATTTACTTTTCTCTGGGTAGATCACTGGGTCCTGGATTTACAGCTGGCAGGGAGCTTAGTAGTCATTAAGTCCACCATCTTTTTTTTACACTAAAGGAACCAAGGCCTTGAGAGTTCTAGTGAGTTGTCCAGAGTCACCTGGGGTAATTAGTGGCAGAGCCCTAAATCCCATCCCCTTCTCCTTGCACCAGGCTGTGTCTGTGGAGGTGATTGAAGGATTGGGAAAAGGCAGCTTAAATGCTGAGTTGTATGAGATTCTCATCAGGTCCTTTGATAACTCCTAATTCCATTATCTTCCCTCTGTTGATTTCTTTCCAATGGATTTTGTTTATATCTTGTTTGTACACAGTTTTTTGTAGGTTATCTCCCCCATTGGACTGAACTCCTTGAGCAGGGGTTGTTTGGTTTTGTTATTTTGTTTTGTTTTTCCCTTTCTTCATATCCACAGCACTCAGTACAGTACCTGGCATGAAGTAGGCGCTTAACAACTTTTATTGACTGACTACTGACTTGAGAAATTTGAACAGGGTGTTTCATAGTAAGTAAAGTGTTACTAAACCCAAATCCATTCCACTCCTAAGCCCTCGGATAAGGTATTTATTCATTATCTCACTCCTAGTCAAATGCTGCATCTTACTAGTTCATGTGTATGTATTTTGTACACATAATATTCTTGGACCTATACAGCAGTTTTGTGAGATAGGCAGTGTAAGTGTTATTACCACACTTATAAGGAAATGGAATTTCAAAGAGGTCAAATGATTCAAAGTCACACAGTGGGAGAGCTGAGACTCAAACTAAGGTCTTACTACTACAAAAACAAGTAAACTTTACATAAATTTGCCCTGATCTAACACTTTCACAGTAGCATCATTAATACTTTATAAGCCAGTGCAACCATAAACCTCACTGGGATATTGGTTGAGTAACCATTTGGAATGTGATTCTGTGGAAATCTTAGCCCCTTGGTAAAATCCTGCATCTTGAACCTACCCATTTTGCAGTCAGCCAGGTTTGCCATCTTAGAGACATCTTCAACTTCTCATTCTGCCTTACCCCCATGTATATAAATAATTTGTCATTGTTGTTGTCATTCAGTTGTTTCAGTCGAGACTCCATTTGGGGTTTTCTTGGCACATATACTGGAGTGGTTTGCCATTTCCTTCTCCAGCCTTGGCATTTCTAACATCTCTTACATCTGTCTCTTCTGCATTCACAAGGCCACTATCCTAGCTCAAGACCTTATCACCTCTTGCCTGGCAGTTTTAAGTCTCTCCCTTCTTGAATCCACCCTCCACACAGCTGTCAGAGTGATTTTTTTTTTTTTTTGTATCTTTCCTTGAGAGTCTGTCTACCTGCTCAATAAAATCCATTGACTTGAGGATCAAATACAAAGTCTTCTATTTGGCATTTAGATTCCTCTACACCCTGACTATCTACTACTCTGGCCTTACTGTATATTACTTAACCTTTTACACTGCCTTTGGTCCAGAGAGACAAATTGGCTTTCTCGCTGGCCCAGAGGTAGAGGAAGGGGGAGGCGGAGGACCTAGAGTCAAGAAGACCTAAGTTCAGATCTAGCCTCAGGCACTTAGTAGCTATGCGACCCTGGGCAAGTCACTTAACCTGTGTTTACCTCAGTTTCTTCATCTGTAAAATAGAGAATAGCACCTACCTAGAAGAGTTGTTAGGAGGATCAAATGAGATAATATATGTACAAGTACTTAGCACGGTGACTGGCACATAGTAAATGCAATTATAAATGTTTATTCCTTCTCTTCTTTCCTTTTCTCTGAGCCTTGGCACAAGCTGTTTCCCATGCTTAGAATATGTTTCATCCTCACTTCTGCCTCTTAGAATCATCATTACCTTCAGTGCTCAGTTCAAACACCACCCTCTACATGAAGCCTTTTCTAGTTAATTTCTATTGCTGTTGCTCATTTGTTTCAGTGGTGTCTGACTCTTTGTGACCCCATTTGGGGGTTTTCTCTGCAATGACACTGGAGTAGTTTGCCATTTCCTTCTCCAAACTTGTTTTACAAATAAGGCCAGTTTTAAACCCACATTTTCCTTGACTCAGATTCAGCACTCAATCTACTGTGCAGTTTAGGTGCCTTGCCTCCAAATTACTTTGCATATTGCTTATTTATACTCATATGGGTTTGACTCTTGCTATAGAAATTTACTTTAGGGTGGGATCTGTCTTTTTCATTCTTTCTGTTTTCCTCTCGTAGAGCCTGTGGTTGGTGTTTGATCAACATAAGGTTTTCATGAAACCTCCCAAATTTATGTTAAGTAATTTCAGATACCAATTTTCCATGTGGCCAAGACACATTTTACCAAAAA